AATAATTTAAAGTTCCGCGAATTTTCAGTTCTTAGTATTTTAGCTCCGTTCCAGCGAAGACCAGAACTGAGAGCGTGGCCTGAGGTCAGTTTGATGGTGTTCCATCGAGCCAAATTTTCCTCTTTTTTTTTCTTTTTCAAGCAAGAGACTTTCATTTCCTTTTTTTAAATAAATAAAAAAAAAGCAGTAGTACCTCAAACTAATTCCATGAATTTCTCGTTTCATTACTGTCTTGGCAGAAATGACAACTACTCGATTAAGTTAATTTTTTGTCCAAATTTAGCTGGCAGGCCCTGGAAAGCACTGAATTTGAATCACTCTTCTGCAACTTATATTTTTTATTTATTATAAATCTAATATATATGAAAATATGAAATTCGTAATTGCGTGCTGCACCTTACCAATAGAACTGATGGAACTTTTTGAAAGGGTTAATGAACCTGAAACAAATTACTATACCCAGTGACTTGCGCTGTTTTTAATCCCGAGGCGGCGATTTTTGCGAAGACGGCGCCCGAAAGAATCTATCCCAAGGGCAAGGCCATTTGCGAAAAGCGTACGGGTGCTTCAGTCGCAATTTTTTTTTTTTATTGCTGGCCGTATGATAATTTTAGCCGAAGGAAATGCGAATTCGGTTTTATTTTCTGCTCGACTGGATTTTACGATAACCTCAAGAAGTAACGAGAGGACTCAGTCATGATGTCCTCTCTTAATCCTTTAATCCTTTAATCCTCGGTGGTTTCCCCAAGAAACCTGAGATGATGCCCGCGCATCGATTGCCCTGTTGGATTCAGGCCCCTCTGGAAGCTATTGCCTGTCACGAACGAAACGTCGGCCGAATTGCCCTGTGATTCTTGGCCTCGAGCGCGCAATCGTGACCATAAATTCCCGTTTTTTTTTAAATATAAATATAAAAATGAAATCTAGATAAATATTAGTCTTCTTGGGCACGGATACGTTAATTAAGGGAATCTATGAAAATATTTAATTTCATTTAACGACAGCAAATTCTTCATCCGAGGACTCAAAGTCGGCGTTTCCGACTGTCGGAATCGCCTCGTCAATCAATCATGCGCTCTTCTTTCTTCGGTAATTGGCGCTGATTGGCGTCGGAGATAACGGGGCAGAAAATCGCCATCGAGCAGTAGAGCCCTTCCCGGTAATATTTCCTTCGGTGTCCCCGTTCCCGAATCATCGGGCCGAGACGTGTCGTCGATCTTGTTCTTGCGGATCAAATCTTTTAAGCGAGAACAGAGTAAACCCTTGAAGTCTCGAAAGTGAGATTGTTGGATGACGATGCTATCGAATACCAAAGGACATTTGTCCTGTGGTATGAGTTATACCGTATTATTATTATTATTAACACTAATACGGTATATCCCATGCCACAGGACACGCCAATAAATAATAATAATTTATTATTATTATTATTATTAGTAATATCATTATAATTAATAGGGAAACCTTAACAGGAGCGGATAGGTGTCGTATGTAATTTATTTCGCAGGATATTATCGCTGGGCTGATACCTTGCACTCTGGCGATATTTTTTGGCTTCCAAATTCGTAATGCAGAACGAGTGCTGATGAAGGGTGACTCGCGCCGGGGTCGGTTGGGCTCTAAACTGATCTGATTTCATTATGGGCGTCTTTGGGAATTCGATTATCTCCGTCATGACGATTCCCGCTGGGGGCCATTGCGAGATGAGATTAGTTTAATACGGGGTGTCCGTGAAGTGGGGCAACTTTTTCGCCGTTAATCCCTTTTTTTGTGGAGCCTGTTCAGCGATAGACCTGGGAATGATGTCACAACTTCAGTACATCATTCCGGAAAAAAAGCGGAAAATTTTTTGTCACTTTTGCCATTTTTTTTTGACAAGCCCAAACGTCTAAACGACTCGAAAAGATCTCTAGCGCTGTGTGCCAGATGAGTGACGGATTTCTTGAAGATGCTGACGCGGACGCAATTGAGAAGAAACCGGTGGTCGACACATTGAACCGTTTTGCCGAGTAAACTCCTAATTTTTATGATTTTGGAATCGCAAAATACGCCATCATTCGATCAATACTGTAATGATTATAAGTTGGTACCATGAGCAAAATTTTCTTTGAAAATTTTCCCCCATTTTTTCGTGCAAGCAAAAAAAAAATATGGAAAACACCCTACGTGGGAAATTCATTCTGGGCCATGCCAAAGTGATGGAAGGAATACATGACACCATTCCGAGGTCGGTACGTTTTCAGTCCACAAATATTTAAGATGTGGCTACTTCGGTGTCAATAATAAAAAAAAGAGTCGCCCGTAGGTTCGCCCGTAGGTAAGAACACCCTGTACTTTTGGGCCTGAGCATTAAAACAAAAAAAGGGTTCGTCCCGGCGGGAAGCCATGTGCCAACAATTGACGCGCTCTGTAAGACCGGAAGAAACTTGTTTTCGTGTCGAGCCCAGTGGACGAATGTGTCCTCTCTCGGTGGCAGGAGGTACTACAAGGACCCAGCTAGGTGCTGGTACCGTCAGCATCCCGACTTTTCATGCACTCGATTTTATATGGATCCAAATGGCCGAGCTCGTGCAGCGCCCAGCAGAGGTCTCAATATGTTAGATCTGGTGGATGTCACTCGAAGTTCATTCCGGGAAAGATGCAGTCGATTCGCATCCGATTCCTCCACATGGAGGCCTGGTCATACGTAATCGCTGTCGACGAAGCGGTGACCGTTGTGAATGCCTCTTCTGTTTGGATCTCCATTTGCAGCTTGGCATCCACGAACTTGAGGCTTTCGAGCGAGCGCTGAAACCTCCATCGCGGCCCGAGAGGGAGCTGCATGCTCACAGGCGGCGAGGACGACGATAGCGAGGAGCGGCCCTCATCTCGCTGGATCTCGGATTTCTGTCGGGAATTTTTCCTGCTCTCCTCGTTCTGCCCGTGGAGCATATGAGGCCATTCCCACGCCGTTTTTCCGTCTTGAACACGGAGTTCCGTGCCAGCTTTGCGATCCCCGTGGGAAAAAGGACACCATGAGTTGCATCTCGGCCCTCGCTTGCGCACTCATGAGGAAACTCTGTTGCGTAACACTCTCGCGAACCTTCTCGCAATCGCACGCTCCGCGTTTGATCTGTAACGCAGTGCCCTTGCGATAAGGGTTTGCGAGAGAAAACAAATCGACCGTGATAATAATTTATCCGGGGAGTCTGAAGGCTTCACTTCGGGATCCTCTTCTCCTGCCTTCGATGAGCCAATAAAATAATGCGAGACCGTTTCGCGCCAATTTTTAAAAGGCGCAGTCTTCTGTAGCATACGCGAATGCATCAGTGCAAAAATGCGGAATTCGCGAGTATTTGCCAAGCAGAACGGATGTACATACCAAGAAAAAAAGAAAAAGCTTTTTCTTCGGTTTTCTACTTCAGTTTTTCAATCTGAACGAAAATAAACTAGGTTATTCATATTAAATCCTCGTGGCATCATGGATGCACGAAGATTTGCATGAGAAATTTCGTAAAATAAAATCGGTCGTTATTTTTCGAATGAACGCGAAATTGAAGGAAGACCTCTTTGGTCGAATTAACTGTCTTCTTTTAATGCGAATAATTTAATTATTAAATTTATGCAATTGACAAATGAAGGCCTCTCAACGTCACCTAAGGGGAACTCATCAGAGATCATCATCCCTTTTCATCAGATCAGATCATCATCAGATCATCAGAGTGCAAATTTTCTGTTCTTTCAGCTCTGATTGCGAATCAATTATTGAAATAATTTAATATTGGCAGAAGCATATCAAACTCGTACGATATCCGAGTTCGTGCAATTTTTTTTTTTTTTTTTACCAATTCCAGGAATTGTGTCCAGGATTCTTTCTGGACGACTCGCGGCCCGAGAAGCGCTCTAGCATCCGACGTCTCTTCGCATCGTTCAAAAATATTTCGGCAGGGATTTTTGGGCTGTGCATCGAGGATGTGAAACTGAGGGATTGGAGAAAGGTGAAAGCCTCGGAAATGGTTTTCCACGTTTCCATCTTTCTCGCAGCCTTTCCCGAAAGGTCTTGAAGTGGCTGGCGGAATTTTTCTGTCTCAAAACTTAAATCTGAATTTCTTCCACTCCGCTTCACCCGAATCAGCAATAACAGAATAATGCAATTAATTTTAAAATAATTTGATAATAATAAAACAGCATTTTCATTCATGGAGGCGACCAAGGAAGTGCCAAATTTTAGTATTTGGATCTTAAAGTCTCACGCAACTCATTCACCCAATCGGAAATTCCTTTTTTTTTTCCTTGTTAATCTCAGTACCGATCGAAAATTTTGCCGAGGAGGGCTCTACTGCTTCAAGAATGACTTTCACAGCCGGATCTTAAAATGAATGCGAACATTGTTCTCGATTCACTTGGATGCATTTCAGTCAAAGGGGTCAAAGGTCGTTAATTTGAACCGCAGGGCTCTCCACGTATTCCATTACTCGAGTGGATTCCAAAATAATCGGAGAGAAAATGGGAAGAAGTTATATTTTGATTTCGCGGGAAGGTGTTAATGACATATTATAAAGGATTTAATTTAATTGTAGTCCTTTTGGACGCCGCGTTGGGCCGACGTCGGCTGGGAGTGAGAAAGCGTGGGCCGACATCACAGTGGGCAGCCCACGTTGGCTCTACGTGGGGAGGTCGGAAAGTTCGCGGATTTTCACATTTTTCGGCGCCATTGAGTGATGAGTGAGACTTTAAGATCCAAATACTAAAATTTGGCACTTCCTTGGTCGCCTCCATGAATGAAAATGCTGTTACCGTCTCGCTTCTGACGGGTCTCCATCTTTCTGTACGGTATTAAAAATTCTAAAAAATTGTTGAAAGGGCTCAAGAGATATCAATTGAATGGGCCACAATCACTCATCACTCAATGGCGCCGGAAAATGTGAAAATCCGCGAACTTTCCGACCTCCCCACGTATGTTAGCGGTAGTGCGAGCCATCTATCACAGTTATACGAAAATGCAAGGTACCCGCAGGTGAATGGAGATGGCGCCGAAATTGCAGGGATTTTTCGCCCGACTTGTTCACGATGAAGGTTATTCGGAAGAAGGACCTTTATGCAGATTGTCATGAGTGACGAATAGGATGTCAAAACGGCTTCTAATCCCGTGTGGAAATTGAATGTCCTAAAGACAATCGAGGGAGGACGTTTTCCCAACGTCGGCCCAACGTCGGCCCAACGTCGACCCACATAGCACATTTGGGATTCAAATCCAGGCAACGTCGGCCCAACGCGGACACGCTGCCTGCGAAGAAAGGGAACTTCGGGCGACCCCCCCGCACGATCGTCTTGGTCGTCGCCGACCGTCCCCGTTTTAAATTTGCTGCGAAAGTTTGCACGGAAAATATTGTCAAAAAGATTTTCAATAAAATTGGCAGAGAAAGATCGCAGTAAAGAGCCTCCTCACAGACGGCGGTGACGAAGAGCGCGACGAAAAGTGCGACGAAGAGCGCGACGAAAAGTGCGACGAAGAGCGCGACGAAGAGCGCGACGAAGAGCGCGACGAAGAGCGCGACGAAGAGCGCGACGAAGAGCGCGACGAAGAGGATTCCTGGCAGAATTCCCACCGTTCTGCTCGACTTACGCCTCCGAGCCGCTTCTCCGTCCTTCATCCCCGTCGTAAACGCCTTTACGGCCGAGATAAAGGCCTTCAAAACAAGGAAGGGGATTTACGAGATGCGGCGCAAAGGCGGTCAAGCCGCCGTAATTATTCTCTCTTTGTCGGATTTCGCCTTTTGCTTCCGCCGTTTTAGAGAGATCGCGACCATCGATTAAAACGATGATGGAATCTCAAGGATGCGCTGCCTGACAGATGCGTAATGTATTACTGTAATGCATGTACTGTAGTGCAAGTACTGTAATGCTTGAACTGCACCATTTTTCTTGTCGAGGTCACACGAATCGGTATGGAAAATGGGAAGCTGTTCCATTTCAGCTGGACGATCCTCATCGTCGGTCGCCTTTTCCTCGACCGACGGGTCGCTATTTTCTCGACCGATGGGGTCGCCATTTTCTCGACCGATGGGGTCGCCATTTTCTCGACCGATGGGTCGCGAGAGGATCAGAGAAAGTGAGAGGGTGAAAATGAAGATAGGTAGCGAAAGGTAAATCGGAAGTGAGGAAACGGAGTTTCGAGTCAAGTACTGGTCTCGGTACTGTGCTGAAATCGGTACCGTTGTAGTACTTGGGTTAACCGTGAAGAACGCGTACTTTCAGCATTCATTTCACATTTTCTAATATCCAGCTTCAGTCGACATTTGTTGAGATTCAGCGTCGAGATCAGAAGTCTCCAAGAATTTAACGGCGCCTTGGGATTTCAAATTTTAAATTTTCAAATTTTTACTTTTCTAATTTTAACTTTTTAAATTTTTGTTTTTCATCTGGTAATTTTCCTTTTTTTTTCTTCGTGCATTCTCCTATTTGCGACCGCTCCCTTTTTCGAACCGCTGGTCTGGAGGGAATTTTCTCGGCGGTCTGCGGTGAAAGGAGCGGTTCCGCGAACCCGCGCAGGCTTCTACCCACGACCCAGGAGGGCGAGTCGCGTGTTTATTTTCTTCTCCCCTCGCTTTCTCATCTGTGTCTCGCCCGTAGCGTTGGCATTCGTCAAGTGCTTCATAATCGGACTGACAGGCGAGATATGCATCTTGGATGCACTCCGAATAATGATGCATTTTCGCGATGATTGCCTGCAATTACTCGTACGGTTCCCGATTTTTCGTTTCTCTCTCAAGCGCTGAAAGGAGACGACTGGCCGAGGCGTGTCGTCTCGTGTCGTCATGTGTCGTCATGTGTCGTCGTGTGTCGTCCATGGAAGCAGCGGGGATCCGCGGTATCTGCGCATTTGGCACAGGTGGGTTCACTCTCCGCCGTCTTCTCTGCGTCGGTTGACGTCAGTAATAGAGAGCTGCGCGGGGTGAGGACTTCCTCCACATTTCGTATTTTCGGTACTTCGGAGTATCTGATGAACCAAGGAGACTAGAGGAATTTTATTTCACGTTGAATATGGGAAGAACCGTGGCGGGAGAGGGGAAAAGGGGAAGAGGGAAACCGAATTCGTTTTTCCCTTTAGCCCTCGCCTCGGTCTCGTAGCCTCGAGCCATAGAATTTCGCCTCGAAAGAGCCTCCATTCTGCTTTGGATTTCCCGTCCAGCGTGATTCCTCGGGTATTCATCCCTCTGCGGTGTCCGCGACGGAGGGAAGTCTCCAACCCTCCCATTCAGAAACGAAGCAATACGAAAGGAGGAAGAAGCTGCTCCTTTCGGCGGAGGGACGAAGGAAGAGGAAGAAGCTGCTCCTTTCGGCCCAGTAATGGAGGAAGAAGAGGAAGCCTCCCCTCTCGGCACGATCCCACGAGCCGATTCGATCGCCCTCCTCCGCCCTCACGCGCCCCGCCGCATCCGTGCGTGGAACGAGCCACGCGAGACGTGAGTTTCCCTCCACTCACGCCCATTCTTAGAATAGCGCATCGAGTCTTTTCTCGCCTCGCCTTCTCCACAATCCCCTAATGATCTCTTCTCCCTCTTTCGGGTCTGAAGATGTCCAAGGGCTTCTCAGTACTTCGATCCTCATTTCAAATCCTGAGAAGTACCAGACACCGAAAAGGACCAATGAAGTTTCGTTGAACTTGCATGCATTACAACATGCATTACAACTTGCATTACAACTTGCGTTACAACTTGCATTACAACTCTTGAGTACTGCACTGGTACTAGCCCGTAAAAAAAGGTATTTATCTGGTGTCGATGGCCTCTCTTAGGGTGACTCTAGAAAGTACTGAAAAGTACTTATAGGGATCCTCTAGCCAGAGCAAAAACCGCTAAACCGAGTTCGACTAGCAAGGTCGGACTAGAAATCTAAGTACTTGAAGTACTGGGACTTTTCACTTTAGACTTGATTCGCATGGCCTGCTTTGAACTTCCCGAGTTCCGGCTTCCAATCTCTTCGTAGGCTGTCGATTTTGATTAAAATTTCCTAGGCTTATAGGGTAACACAATTGGAGTTTGCATGCCAAATTTCAGCCAACTGGCTTTAAACGTATCGGAGCTGTAATTGTTTTCTGGTGACCGGCGGGAAAATGAGTTATATATTGATATAACCCGGCGGCCGGGATGAGATGGAGGCCCGAAAAATAGGAACGAAAGAAAAATAGGAATACTTACTTTTCTGGGAATGAAATGCGAATTAAATGTATATATAATTAAATGTATATGTAATTAAATGTATATGTAATTAAATGTATATGTAATTAAATGTATATGTAATTAAATGTATATGTAATTAAATGTATATGTAATTAAATGTATATGTAATTAAATGTAGAAATAAATTCTCACCGTTTTTGGAATTTCTATTTGAAACCTGGCACACAAACTCCAATTGAGTCACGTTATTTGTAATTGTAATTTGTACCAAATGTAATTTAAAAGAATCGATTTCGTGCAATCAGATTGGCAGCTTACCAGAAATGATATCTTTATTTTTTTGGCATTTGGTATTTTAGAAGATGACGTGATTTTTTCCTTAAAGAAAATTTTTTTTTTCAAGGAAGAAAACTTGATATTGGTACTTTTTTTGGTACTTTTTTTGGTACTTACGAGCGGAATGAGGAGTTCGCTTGCATCCAAATCAGATCATGGAATTATGAGCATGAATTCCATGTTCATCATGAATATGAGCATGCCTCTCAAACCCGAAAGTATAATATTATACATTAATTTATATATTACATATATGAATATATTTATATATGTACTCGATGTCCTCTACACGAGAGTCAATGTCCTTTGCAGACAGGGAAAAGGACATTTTGTGGGACCGTTCTGCTTGTTTCTTTCTTGCTTTCTTATATATATAAATAAATAAATAAAAGTAAGAAAAAAAAATTTTTTTCCTTTATATATTCGACGTATATTTTAAGTTGAGATTAACATTATGAATATTCCAGCGATCTTCTGAGAAATATAAATTTCCGCGTAAATTGCGCGAATCGAAATTCGCTCGGACGCGTTTTCGCGAAACCGCGAAGCGTGAATTGGCAGGCTTTCTGTTTTGGCTCTTGCCGTGCCGAGACGGACCAGTCTCAACACGCTCGAGTACAAATGGGAAACGTGCAAAAATTTTTGGCATTCCAAGTTGGCACCTGGCCCGCCCAGCGTTCGCAAATTTTTCGCGAACTTTCCGCCTCGGCGGTTGCAGACTTTCTTAATTTTCTGCCAATCTATTCCCCCCCCCCACGAAACTAATGCCAATTTGCCAATTGGCCAAAGCTGTTCGAAGGTGTTTCGCCTGTTTTCATGATTATTTTGCAACGAAGCTGGGGAGATTTTGACAGCATGCATCTCATTATCGTTCCCTGATTCCAATTAGCATTCGAATTTCAGACTAATTATGAACGGTTCAGTTTATTAGCATGAGCGAATTAATTATGGAATTGAAAATGGGAAAATAATTTGCATTTTTAATTTTTTTAATTGTTAGTTAATTTTTAGTAAGTTAGTTAGTTAATACCTGCGCAATTCCCCGTTGCCAAATTTGATTAAATCGTTTGGGAAGCAATTTTTAAGGGCGTGTGGGGCCGAAAATTCTTCGGCACTCTGACCGAAGAGGAAAAAAAAAAACCACGGCGGGTCGGATGGATGCACGCCTGCTTCGCGGGTGCCTCCAGGAATGCACTCTCCTCGCGGAACGAGGTCTGTGGCTAACCGAGGGTCAGTCGGAGGTTAAGCAACGGTTAAGAAGGAGCGTTTCGTCGCGAAACTTCATTTCTCTGCTCGACATCAGATGGAAGAGCGATCGGCAACAAATGATGTTGCTCATTTCATTTTTCCCTTTCCTCGTTTCTTTTTACCCTTTCCTCGTTTCTTTTTGCCCTTTCCTC